TTATATATGTGATTCACTGTTGTAAGTTTGGCCAGGTTCTGAGCCATGTTGGATAAGTTGGAAAGTAAAACGTATCTTTGGCAATAATGTCATGAGTCTGTAAAATGTCGTAATTGATTATCTTGGTTAACCATCTGTTGAATGCTATTGCTTTATTCATTGCTTATATGTGGTTTAGTATTTTTCTACTGGGCTGTGGCTCACCCTATGTGGGAACATCATTTTCAGGTTCAGGTGATAAGCTGCCTCCAAGGACTTAGCTTGGAAGGGATTTGGATTTCGAAGACTATCTTTAGTTCATTGTCTTTATTTATTAGTACATGTAAACATCCAAGCCTAGGGCTTTTCTTGTATTGAGTTAGAACTCATCTTTTTGTATCCAAGTGTTGGCTTGGAAAGATGTAAGCCTGTAGGGCATTTTATTCGATGTTACATGTAAAGCTTTTATTTAGTAATACTCTGATGAATGAATGAATAAATTGTTTTCTTTAAATAATGAATGTCAGTGATATATGTATATAATGGGTTGATTTTGAGGGCATTACACCCATTAAGTCATAGAACTCAATTATGCAATCAAAATGAAACTCCATGGTATAGAACAAGTCCTAACTTATCTCGACTTGTCGTTGCAGTGACTGCACATAGTTTATAATTTCATCAAGCATAAGTGCTTTTCCATTCACCTACAAGTACAATGGAAAGAAAATTTCCAGGCCAATTTAGTCATTGCCCAACAATGAATTCAAGCTCTACTATGGCTTAATTTTGTTGCAAAGCATTCTGTTACACACATCTTATTGCAACCTGGCACGAGGTCTTGGAGAAGCTTCATTCTTTCACTGATCTTCTCTCACTGATCTTCTCCCTTTGAACCTGCCCAAACACCCGAAAATCGCAACGTTAATGCTAAGCTAGCCATAGAAGATTTGGAGCGAATGATGAGAGAATTGGGCTGTGATTCTTACTCTTTCAGCAAGGCTATGGCTATCAATAGCTTGACCCCTTCTTGCTCTTACATGAATGTAGTCCTTTGGGGGCTCGGGAGGCTTCTGGTTAGCCTTTGTTTCTCATCCCCATCCCCTGTTTTAACATTATCATTTTCGCTCCCACTGCCTTCATTGGGTTTGAATCGCTTGGTGTTCGGGTCATCCTCTGCCTCTGCTACCTGGAAGAACAGAATTGTTAGAATTCTCGACTGAATCAAAGAAAAAAGAAGTTAAAAGAGTGTGTTTTTAATTTTTCTTGGTAATTCATATACCATTGTGGCATTGACAGAATTGGATATTCCCCTCAAACCTTCTTTTCTTTTCCTGGAATTAGAAGAAATTGGATTTTTCAACACCGTTTCGCCATTTGGGATTTTCCTAGAAACAGAGGAACCCTCATTAGAACTTGCAAATTCAGTTCGATCCGAGGTAGCAGACTCCAGAACTTTCCTGAATTTTGTGTCTGAGCCAATTGACGACCTCATTTCCATTTGGGTTTGTGTTGAATTCTTGTTTTCTTGAACACCCACGGGAGATACAGCTGCCTTGATAGAAGGACTACTCGAAACTCTGGGCAAAACCATTTGGGTATAGAATAATCTGATTGTAGTCCAGGTGAAAATTCGTTTTTCGCAGTCTCCTGTTTAAATATCTCAATAACTTCTTCGGTTATCATTTGACTCGTCATTTGATGATGATTAAAGAGTTTGAGTTTCATCTCCAAGCAAGATTTCAGATCTTCCTCATTCTGAGCTTTATTCAACTTATCATGAGGATCACTTAAAGCCGAAACCCTCTCAGCCCGCCAAGATTTTCCCTTTTTTTGCATTCCGACAAGTTCAACTACTCATGTACAAAAAGAAAAGAAGGGACAAAGATACCATTTCCATGCACAATAAATCCAGCTCATCAATTAGTCTTGAAGGGACAAAGATACCATTTCCATGCACATGTCAGATATTCAAATACTCATGTACAAAAATTTAATGTTCAGGTGCAAAATGCATATATAGTAACTACATAATGAATTGATTTTTTTTAATTATTTAAAAATTAAAAAATAAATAAAACACAATCATAAACCATGGTCTTAACAATCCCCGATAAACAAGCAATTAATGGTGAAATTTGCATCATGACATTGTCTTCAATATCCAATCACCTGTTACCAAAAAGAAAAGAAGCCAATATATCAGCCCAGACATGGAGCAGTTCCTAGGGTTCATACACTCAAAGAACTCTCCCAACACGGAGGGTTCATACTCAACTCCACAGTGGGTGTATGATACATTTCTCAAGTATTTGAGTAGAGATGCAACTTTCACATTTTCTTTCTTAGTCTCCTCAATTATTTCATCTTTCTAAGGCTAAAAATGCCCCCAATTTTGACTCGTCTATTATGTTCAAATTGTTGTATGCTGGAACTTCAATTTCTTAAGAAATCAAAACGACCATGGCATCTGCGAGCCTAACACTATTGTAGATATTTTTCCTTTACCAATAATAATATATATATATATATACATATCTACAAAGTATAAGCATTGAGAAGAAGGATAACATTTTCCTTGTATCACTTGCCTCAAGGAAGCCATATCCACCTATGGGTAATCTCACCTTTCCTTCCATGTGTTCACCCCCCCTTCCCAAACTAAAGCACAGCATAGAGAGGGGATTCTTAACCTTCTAAAATTCATGAAAAAGAGCAATACCGATATCACCAAAAGAAGATGACAGCCCCAACATTCCCACTAGATAAACAGCACAAAGATACAAAATTTCAATGATCTTTAGGGGGTGTTTGGGAAGTGGCTATTTTAGTTAACTTTTTTGCTTTTTATGAAAGACATGCAAAAAAATAGTAAGACTGATGTTATTGGGTGTTTTGACTTTTTGATTATTTTTAGCGAAAAAGCAACCACCCCAAACGGGCCTCAGTGATGGAAGGCTATCTATGTTCCCTCCTTTTTAGTTCTCTTTTTCATTTTTATTTTTACATCTGTCTTCCTTTGGTTGGTTTCAAGTCACACAAAGTAGTCTCTGATATTATATGCCAAAAAAAAAACTTGAGAACTTCATTTTATATACACACTAGTTCCATGTCATGTCACACCTCAACTTCTTTTTTTTCTGATATGGGATCAATTTGCTTTACAAACAACACCAATGGTCTTGAATCTCAGATTATTTAGCTCCTGTACAAACTATTAGGCAAATCATAGTTTTCTGAACAAAAATTCATCATTTTTTTTTTGTTTTTTGTTCAAATCCCAATAATTGGGTAAGTCCATTACCTATCATCGTATTGTAAATTAGCTTCACATCCCTCAGATATGCAATAAACTTTGATTTGTTTAACTCATAGTTGTTTCAATACAATACCCAAAAACAACAAAAACAAAATCAAAACAGAAAATTCTATGAACATAAACGAATCCACTTAACTCGAATCGACACTTAAATGAATCCTCAATGTATTATATAGTTGAGGCCCAGTTTAAATTTCAAATTTCAAATTCTGTAACTTCTTCAGCTTTTTTTCTCCACATATATTTTTTATTTTCATATCACCCATCAGGTGTGCACACATTCTAGTACACACACACACACATATATATGTATAGAGCTCAATATAGTGGATTAACCACAAGTATTCTGTACAAGATTGAACTTAAAGTCGAATCATCTATAAGTGAAATCAATTCGGAGGTTGAAGAAGAAGAGAACGAAGTGGGACAACGTTACCTAGGGCAAAGATGAGTGGTTGAAGGAGGAGCAATCGGCAAGCGAAGACGCAATAGAGTCCGAAGGTGCAGCTCAACTCCAGGTTAGCTCAACTCAGCTCATGGGTGTTCATAATGTACCAATCACAAGTTGCATGAAATTGTCAAAGCTATTCAACAACACAAAAGAGAGAAGAAAAAGGGTCAGCTCAGCCCATCAAGATAAGTGGACCACCACAGAAGGATATTATTACTATATTGAAGTCTGATACACAAGAAAATAATTAAAATGGTCAAAGTATCCAAAGGTGATGAAATTTATTAACAACATAAAAAATAAAATAAAAAAATCCTAACCCAAAAACTGTCTTGAGAAGTCTAACCATATCCCCGAAAATCATAACTTTAAAAGCAAAAGAATAAACCAAAAACCAAAAACATTGAAACCAATTTCAGTGAGTCAACAGTTGAAGATGCCCATGAAGAGCTCTGCAGTAGATTCCTTGAAATAAAATAAAATAAATACACTTGAAACAATTTCATTGTTTTCCTCAAAAAACTTTAAATGCCATTATTTCAATAACAATATATTATATCATTTTCCATAGAACTCAGAGATTCCCTCTAAAAAAATTAAAAACAGAGTGATTAACAAAACTAGACAGTTAATTTGAATGTTATTTTGGGGCGTGGTTTTAATTTGCAACCACCATACCTATACCTTCACCATGTGCCAAATTTTGTGGGTTTGTTGTGAATATTGTTCGGCTGTTCTGGTGACTGCATCTCCTAACTGGTCTTCTAGTTTTTGATGACACAAAAAATGCACAAATATGATAATGGCATCTAAAAACTTATTTCACATTTTTTATTCTCCTTTTACAAGTCCACAAAAAGTGTTACGCGAAGTTCTTGGTAATTCCTAGTTTCCTGTCCTCTACACTACATGATTACAGTAAAACATACAGACAGACCCAAACTTTCAGACTAACATTTTTCAACATACAAAACCCAAAATTCATGAGAAAAGAGGCTTTAAACGAACAGAGACAATGAAAACATACCAATTGTAAGCACAACACTTAAACATACAACACAAATCTGACTAATTGTAAGTTATATAGAGTTGACCAATTCAGATGAATTGAGACTAGCATTTATTTATGTTTAAAATCTACATAAAATGGCAATTCCATAGAAGAGAGAGGATATATAGAACAAAACCTCTTCAACTGCCTTCTCTCTCTTAGGTGTTCTGCCCCAATTTTCGATCCTAATCTGCACAAATGAAAATTAACAACCAAATCAACATTGTACCTATGTTGAGCAGATTGTTAGAGATGGCTGGTGTTTTTTAGCAGAAATTATACTGAAATCACAAGGGGAGAAATTATACGGAAGTCTGACACAACTGAAAGTACAATAGGCATCCATGAAGTAACTAGTTAGTCTCTATCAATTCATCCTAATCGAGTTCACTAATTCTATACAGCAGACAAACTCAAAACAGAGAAGAGAAATCTAAAAAGAACACACGGATCTATTATATATATACAAATTGAAACATTGGTTTGATAGATTACAAAGATTAACAAACAAAACTGTAAAAATTGATGTATTATTGATTGATGTATTAATGTTTATTACGATGATTCATGATTCCTATATATAGAAGAGGGTGAGTGTGTAGTAGGTGAGGAGTAGGTGGAGAGTAGGTGAAGTAGGCGAGTGCGTAGTAGGTGGTAGTGGTAGGTGTGTAGTAGGTGGATTTTAACAGCCCCCCGCAAACTCAAGGGGGATAGGAACTAACCAACTTGAGTTTGGAGAGAGTAACAAAACAAGAAAATAGACCAATACGTAAAATAAAGAGGATAGGAAACACTGGATGGTTGTGTAATAACGGGGTAGAGGACACTGGATGGGTGTGTCATAACATTGTAGAGGACACTGGATGGTTGTGTCATAACGTGGTAGAGGACACTGGATGGTTGTGGCAGAACGTTGTAGCAGATAAAGTCTGGACAGGTGACGAGGTCACACCGGACCGATGGAGAAGCTAACCAGAATCAATGTCGGGACAGTTTATGGGGTCATGTCGGACCGTTGGAAAAGTCACACCCTCAAAAGGTGTGCCCAATCTGTCAAAAAAAGGCGTGCCATCAAAAGACGGGCCATCAAAAGGCGCGCCCATGTTGTCGTCGAGCGCCGAGCGGCGCATGATGCGCGTGTCTGCCTCTTCGTCAGGGTCTTTATAAACTGAGGCGGAGGCTGTGCTTGAGACAAAAGCGAAGACAAAAAAACTTTGTGAAAAAACTTCTGAAAAAACTCTTCATTTTCTGAGAGAGATATTCGTTTTCTGAGAGATTGCCTCTAAGAGCTGCAAATCTTGAAACACTCTGTAATACTCGGTTGCCCAAAAAATGGCCTCGTCGTCCCGTAGTCTGCTCACTCTCTTTCCAGACCTCAACGAGTCAACAAGAGAGATAACTGGTGCGGTGGCCAGTGAACCTCAATCAAACACCTCCGGTTTTGCTCCGTTGAACTTTCCGATGCGGTCTGTGGAGCAAAAAATGGCGGTGCAAACTGATATTGAGGCTAATCAGTATACATTGAAGTCATGTGTGGAGACCATGACTGCGGTCACAAACTTGTCGCACCGGCTGCAGAGCAGGACAAATGAGGTGCAACAGTTAAACTCCCAGCTGGCTCTGCTCCAACGCATGTATAAGGATGCGCGAGCAGAGATAAGTGTGCTAAAGACAGAAAACAAGGAGCTGAAGCGGAAGGCCACCGTGATGTTCCGATTTGGAGGCCCGCCATATGCTGCAGTGGAGGAGCAGGGAGGAGTGATCGTGCCCAGTGGAGTGGGAAACAACGGAGGCAGCACCGTCAAGGGCCGCTCAGGACGGAGGCAAGAAGAAGAGAC